CTCCCTCCCTCCCTCTCTCCCTCCCTACCTACACTCAATACACACACACGCACACCCGGGTCACGCAAAGACACACTGCACTCACGCACAAGCTCAGGTCCATGCCCATAGAGGCACACAGGATCACCGACATTCTCGATGTGCCTGTGGTTGGGAATGGACTGTGGTTTGGCTCGGGCGGTGTTAGGGGGGGTTTTGCATGGTGCGCTTGCGGGAATTTACTCTGGCTTGCCCGCTTTTCTGCTGTGTAGGTGTCGGATACGCACATCACCACTACTCTCATCCCTGGCATTTATGTAACGCCAACGTAGGGCTTTTGGGGGATTTTACAATTGGAATTCTGTGCTCACGACCCCCTCCGAAGGGAACGACTCGTCGGTAGCAATTACTTAGGAACGGAACGACAGCCTCGAATTCCGGTCTGACAGAGTCTGACATGATCACCGAGTTCGAACCTCTAAGGAGGGCCCTTTGGCAATTGATAGTTTGGGGGTGTCTTCTGCAAAAAGCAAAGGAAGCTAAAGGAATAATGTTGGTAATGAGTTGTTGAGGCCCCTATATGAAAGTAACACCTGCAAGATGCAGCTGGGGTCGGATCTTCGCATCTGGCGCAGAGCAACTGCGCATAGGCTTGCAGCGGAACCTCAGGAAAGCAAGGAGGTCTTTCAAGATCAAAGGCCGCATAGGCAGCAGTGCTGTCTCAAGCAAATTGATGACATCAGAAATGAAAGCTGCTTGACGGCACCCTTTCAAATGCTGCACCCATGGGAACCAGCTGTCTAGGGTTGGCCGCGAAAGCCTAGCCAAATCAAGCCTTAGCATGCCTGAGCTTGCGACTGCCCAGACATGGTGCCATTTCGGCATTCAAGCGGGATTGACCTCGGGTTCAATGTGTTTCCACCCTCCAATAGATTCCGTTAGTCCGCAGCTTTGAGGTCTCGTAAGAGTGGGCGCAGGGTGTCTGGACCTCTGCAGCTCGGACTTTAGCTATGCTTGGAGGTTCATGGGTAGTTATAAGTGGGGTTATAAGTAGGGTAACTTTACTTATAACCCATATTAGGGCCCAGACGAATCCCATCTGAGGTTTTGCTCTTGCCTCAAGTTTCTCAACGGCTTCATCATGAGTTTCTTGGCCTTGTAAGTAAGTCTTGTAAGTCTGGGATTCGGATGCCATGCACATGAGTTAGAAGGGTACCATACGGGCCTTACAGGATCCATAAGGGTTCCACATAGGCTCTGTAGCAGCTTAGGGGAAGGTGTAGCGGCCTGCAGCGTGAAAAGAACATGGTGCAAGGACAACACGTACAAGCGCCCACAAGGAAACGCGAATGGAGGCGCGAACGAGTGACCGAACAGAACCGCTAGGAATTCAATAAAACACTGCGAGTGACCTTCAACTTGGAGGTTCATGGGTAGTTATACGTGGGGTTATAAGTCCCCTAATATGGGTTATAATCATAGTTACCCTACTTATAAACCTACTTATAACTACCCATGAACCTCCAAGAACCCTAAACCCCTCCGCAGGAAGGCGCCAAAAGTCCCTTTTTGGCTGTCAGCCCCGAGGCACGACAGATACAACTCCGGTCGGCAATCGGGAAAGGCTTGAAGCTGCAGCATCATGCAAGTCCTTCAAACTCTGGCAGCATGATTCTTAGGATGAGCATTGCTCTCTCTCTCTCTCTCTCTCGCGGGCTCAGAGGTCTGTCATGAGCATTACTACTTTCCTATTCACAGCACAAGAAACATCTCGAACAGGGCTTCCCTGACATTCCTAAACCTAAAGTCTAGAGAGTCCGGCATCTGACACTGTCATCGTTCACTCCGAAGAGGTTGGCCAGACTTGCGGGCTCGGAGATGCTCTGGTGACGGATTTGCAGTGTTTGTAACAATTATAAAAACAATAGTAATAATACCAATAGTAGTAATAGTAACAATAATTAATGATAATAATCGTAATAATAACTAACAAGTGGACAGGGGGTTGGGGAGTTCCACAGCTAGGCACGGCTGCAGCTGACGGAGGTCCATACGACTCCAATTCTGTGGCTCGTGACACTCACATTCAATGCAAGCATCCGGCAGCTTGTGTCCCTCGTGCCAAACCCTGGAACCCGACAGTGCAGAGAGCCAAACTTCAAAAAATGCACCAAGAACGCCGAAGCCCAAACCCTGACGTACCCAAGACCTCTTTCGATCTGCGGAACCGCAGGAACTTGGACTGACTTTGTGCTGCCGTCTAATTCCGGACATCTGATGGTGGTTCTTCATATGGATATTCTTCGGGGTGAAGAGCCAGATGTTGCTTCGTCACTGCATTTAAGGGAAGGATAAAATTGAGGTCAATGCTTTTTGGGCGAAGGAGAGCGGTGGTGTCCACAGCTTGTGCGGCGAGGTCGGTGCTTTGTGGGTAGCTTCGGCAAGCCGGTTCAGTCAGGGCAGCCATGGGCATCACTACAATCCTTCAAGTCCCTAGTCGTAGCCCAATTTGAGTTGTGCAGTACTTGTGGGTCTTGAGGTTCTTCCCTATGCCATTTCGATAGCTACCGACAGTTCACGAACATCTGCGCTTCTATCCGCTCTTGGAGCCCAAGCCTCGGCGGACTAAGTAGGCACGGCTCAGACAAATGCTGCCAGATACCGAACGCAAGCTTCAAAATGTGGCCTCGGCCCATACTGGGCCGAAGCTGCTGGTGAGGCCCTCATAAATGGGCGGGCGCAAGTAGAAGGTTTCCGTTGCGGCTTCACCCCCTCAAACTCAACATCACTAGAATTGCCCTTTAACCCTTAAGTTGAGTTGGGGCTGATGAGCTCTTGCACTGATGCAGGCACACGAGGAACCTCCAAAGCCTGAGCCCTGCCCGCCGGGGCAAAAAGCAGCTCTATTTCGGAGCTTGCGCTGTGTTTGTGAGTCAAGGCCCACTGCCACTCTCTACGGCTACTCGGGCTTCTGCCTCGGGCGACCTCCAAGAATTATTAAACCCTGTGTTCAAGCTGCGCCCCGGCCCCAAAAAGCCCCGGGACCCGATCTCGGGGCTCCCCCAAACCCTGATACTTGGAGGTTCATGGGTAGTTATAAGTAGGGTAACTATAAAACTATAACCCATATTAGGGGACTTATAACCCCATTTATAACTACCCATGAACCCCCAAGTAGGCTCTGGGAGGGACAAACCGAAGGGCCGGCTTGGCTTCAACAAATGCTCGCTTCATGCCTGCGGCCTGCGGCTTGCTGAACCAAAAAATGCTGGCAGTCTGGTACCCTAACCCCCCAAATACCTACTATATAATACAGGGCCCTAGGGGCTCCAGTACCCTATATAGTAGGTACCTGGGAGGTTAGGGGTAGTGCATCCAAAAGGAGTTGCTAAGATGGGTGGATGTGTTGCCTTGGAGGCCGGTCTCACAATGCACCGACCACTCAACAAATCTATGTTTTGCGTAGCTTTCACCGCCGCATCGCAACATCACAACGAAACCCTAATCTAAACTCTTTGCGCTTAACCCTCAAGCCCTGAACCTTAAACCTGCCCAAGACCAGGAAGCCGTCTTGAAGCGCCAGGGGCAAGCCCCTCAACTTCCTGGAAGATGGCTGTTGTAGTCGTTCCTGCACCTCCAGATGAGATGTCAGTCGGAATCTTCGGCAATGACAAGAACTGAAGCAGAAAAAACTCTTCGATGGAGTTGGGGACCCATTTTCCCTTTGCCATCACCTGGTTGCTCCGTCGCTTTCTGCCATATGGGGTTTTCGTCGAAAATAGGGGACCTATACAGTACCCTAAAAAAAAGGATGATAAGGACCCCAAAACAAGGTACCCCCTATTTTCGGAAAGTCCCATATTTGCTAAACATGGGAAGTCAATCCAAGTGCAGGTCGAAGCAAAGGCAGAACCTAAACCAAAACCTGCTTGCAGGTTCATGGGTAGTTATAAGTAGGGTTATTAAGTAGGGTAACTATAATTATAACCCATATTAGGGGACTTATAAGTGGGGTTGTATGTCCCCTAATATGGGTTATAATTATAGTTACCCTACTTATGACCCTACTTATAAGTAGGTTCTAGAAGGGCTCTATAAGGGTCCTATAAGGGGTCATATTTGGAGGTTCATGGGTAGTTATTATAAGTAGGGTTCTAAGTAGGGTAATTAAGTATAAATATAACCCCTATTAGGGGACTTACAACCCGACTTATAACTACCCATGAACCTCCAAGTGGTGCTGTGCGCTTGCATTCAGCAACCCCTTTTACGGTCAGCCCGTGTCTTAGCAGCACCCCAATCCCTTGAGCTGACAGCCGGCTGCTTTATGTCGAACTGCTGAGGAAAGAATACGCCGACCGATGCTAAAACCTGAACTACGCTTGAACTTTTTGTATCGTGAGGAAAGCTAGCAGCTCACTGGCCTCAGCGCCCACTTGAGGGCGGCTTCTCTATGAACGACGACCGCCGGAAGATGTCCTGCCATGAGCTGCCATGATGATGTTTCTTACGAGTGGGATTACCTTGAGTTTTAGTGGATCTTTGTACTAAGGAGCGTACTATTTTCCCTCTCGCATGGCCTGGGCAACTCCCATGACGAGCTTCCAGGATGCCGGGTCGGCAAGACTACTGCAATCAACAGCTCGGGTAATAGGGTTGAAATTATGGGGCGACTACAGTAGCACCAAAGTGGACGATCATGCCTTGTCCATGAACGACTGCTGTGAATCCGAGGAACTAATGCCACGAGGAGGAGTTGTTTAAGCACTTCATTCGGATCAAGCACTGCAGATGGCACATGTGAGGGGGATAAGCGCGCCATGCATGGGCCTTCATCTCGTTTCTGATATGGAACGTCTCATCTCGGATGGTGCATGGGCTTTCGGAGTGGGGGAGGGGTTGCCGGGGAAGCTTTCTAGAACAACAGCTCTTAGTTCGGGAGCCGCCGCGCAGCACGCGGAGCTGAGACAGTGAACCCTCAAAGCCTCTGCCAACCCTCTCACTTGCATTCGGTCAAGACTGAGCGCCCGAAGGCTCCCAACCCACAACGTTTCCAGTTGCACCGGTGATGGCAAGCAGGATCATCCAGGTGTCTGGCGATAGCAAAGAGACGAAACCTTAAGCCCAACAAGACCTCGGACACCCTAATGCTCCCCGACCGCATAAAACAGCAAAATCCCCCTGCTCCATCTGGGCGGCTGAATACTTGGAGCTCATCTTGGCCTCAGAGACTCTAGAAGATCTGAGAGATCTTAGGAGAAAGAGAGAGAGAGAGACAAACAGATCAGGTTTGAATACGATTGGATCTTGATGGAAGTAAGCCTGGTGGCCTACCAAATCGTGGTCGTGTTCTCATCCGGCTTGATTTGCTGACTTGCTCGGTTTTTTCTCTCTCGCATTGCAGAGAACGATGCTCACAGGCGAGGTTGAAAAGTGGCATTGATGCAGACTGTACTCTGTAGGTAATTATAGTCCATCAACTCCAGCTACGACTTCCAATAAGGAACAAAAGTACAGTATAAGAAAGAATCATTGTAGCTAGAGCGACGGCATCATCTTCCGGGTGCGGAAATCCCCAGTGTCACTGGAATAAGTCTATAAAACAAAACACCATCTCGGTTAATGTTGTGGGTTTAATGATTGGAAGAGGGTCAAGAGACCCTGAGCAACTCTCCAGGCACCTAATCTATTGCCCCAGGGGGGATTTCCGCATTTCCGCGCCTTGCAAGACAAGATGACTAGTGCCTTGTTGGGGTCGTGTGTAACAGATCTCAACTGGCCCCATGAACTATATATATATATATATGTATATCCCGACCTCGCCCAACTCCCAACCCAATGGCCATTCCTCATTATGGGTCATTCCCCACGCCCGAACCCACCGGTTTGGGGGTTCAGGG